GGGCACTAATTAAGGCGAGGACAGAAGTATAGTAGAATTTGTGATGTGCACGAATTAAATTATTTGATTGGCTAAAAATGAAAAAATAACAGAAAAACTGTAGAGGGGTTGGATTTATTGTATTTTGTTATAAAAGTGATATATACACATTAAAGTCAATTTGGAACATAGAGAAAAGAAAAAGAATTCTCACGTAATCCTTCAATTGTGACAGTTACTAAACAGCATTTTGGCATTTCCCCTTCCCATATTTTTTCCTCTACTACTTTCATTTTTGATGTTTTTGTCGTCCCCTGCATATGCAGTTTTTTTTTTTTAAATTTTAAATACTAAGGGGGTACAAATGTTTTCGTTACATGGCTTGAGTCAGGGCTATAAATGTGCCCACCACCCAGATAGTGTTCATTGTACCCATTAGGTGCCTATGCAGTTTTAAATCTTAGAACACCTTGAACTCCGACGAGGTGAACACAGGTTGGGTAGGGCACCAGCGTCTGGGGTCTGGCTTGCACTTGAATCCTCCTATTGCTTGTTAGTTAACTGACTTTGGGCATGTTGATCTCCTTGAGCCTCAGTTTCCTCATCTGTGTGATAGGGTGTGCACTTAATCTCTTTCAGAGTTGTTATGAGAATTAAAGAATGAAATGATGCAAGCAGAGCAGCTCTGCAGAGCTGTGTGCAATGGTGTCACCCAGTAAAGGGTGCTGTTATTAATAATGGGTGTCACCGGACCAATCTCACTGTGGCAAGCATGTAATACCGGGTCATTTGGAGAGGGTGGGTGAGCCAAGGAGGGCAATGCTTTTCTCTCACTTAAATGGCACCAGAGCTGAAGAGCCATAGTGCCATGGGGCCAGCCCAGGTGAATGCCAGGCGTTCATTCCTTGGGCAGATTCTGTGATGTCTCAGTTACTCATTCAGATCACATATACTGAAGGCTACTATGTGCTAGGTCCTTGGTAAGCATCAGGAGCCACGGGATGGCAGTTACCCCAACGTGGGCACCCCTCACTGGCACCAGCTCCCCAGCCAACAGGAACACTGAGCACAGGGCTTGGTGCTGAGTGGACTTCTTCCTCTTTCACAAATATTCTGTATCCTTCTCACTCTCAATGCAAGCTTGGGTGTTTAATATGACATTAGTACCCACCACTCCTCTGAAAGTTCTTTCCTCAAGGTCACCAGTAAGCTTCTCATTTCCAAACCGTCAGCCTTACCTGGGACCGTGCCTCCACGCCTTTAAAGCAGTGCTGCCCAGTGGAATTCTCTGTGATGATGGTTGTGTTCTATTCTGTGCTGCCCAGTATGGCAGCCACTAGCCACGTGTGGCTGTCGAGCACTTGAAATGTGGCAAGTGTGACTGAAGAACTGAATTTTAAATTTTAATTAATGCAAACTTAAATAGTCACACACATGGCCAGTGGCTCCTCTATGAGACAGCGCAGCTCTAGAGCACTCAATCATGTTTTCATCCATCTCTTTCTGGTAATCCTGTGCTCTTAGCTTTGGTGACACAGCATTCTTCTGGTTCTCCGTTAGCTCTACTGTGTCTCCTCTTACTCCTCCTGCCCACTAAAAATAACATCCCCAAAGTGTCTGTGCTCTACCTTCTCCCTGCTGTTTCTGCCCCCTCTTCCCTATCCAGCCAGGGAGCCCTGGGTTCTAACCGCGAGCTGTCTCTAGCCCTCAGACCTCTTTCTGGCTTCAGATGCTATTTCCAGCTCCAGCCTGGTGTTGTCACTTGGACCTTCTGCAGTTGTCTTGGGTTGACCACAGCCCTACCTGAAATTATTCCCACGTCCACCTAAACCCCTCCTCCTTCATCTGGCTCCGAGATTTCTTCCAATGATAACTCGTTTTCCCTTTCCGCTTGGAGTCCTCTGTGACATGCCCCCTCTCCATTGTCCCTCGCTCCCTACCTGTTGTTGTACAGTCTTGACATCCTTCCTGTATAATCCTCCGTGAACAATTATAAAAGTAGTAAATACTTTTTATTGAAAATTTACTATGTTCAGAAAAATGCAAAGAAAGGGGGAGGGAGGGAGAGAGAGAGAGGGAAAGAGAGAGAGAGAAAGAGAACTTTCTCCTAATTCTAACCACCCAGAGAACCCTTGTTAATTTTTTTGGTGTGTGACTTCCCACATATAACCTCTGGTAACCTCTTGCCTGGATTACCGCGGCTGTGAACACTCAGCGTCTCCCCACCCTAATCCATTGCTGTTTCCCAAGGCCAGATTCTCATCATGTCACTCTTCTGTTCCGCTCATAAATCTCCAGAGGCACCCAGTTGTCTACTGAATTAAATTTGTCCCCACTGATGGGACGTCATGCCAAGCCGATCTCTGCCTTCCTAGTGTTCAACAGCCCCGATATCGGAGACATTTCTGACACATCACAATAAGAAATGCCCACAAAAGCAAGAAGTCATAGTATCAGTTATGGTTGTGAATAGATATTTATTTAGCTTGTCTTACATTTATTAAGAATTACTGTTTTCATTCTTTTTTTTTTTTTTTTTATTTTTTTAGTAGAGATGGGGTCTCACTCTTGCTCAGGCTGGTCTCGGACTTCTGGGCTCAAGTGATCTTCCTGCCTCGGCCTCTCAGAGCGCTAGGATTACAGGCGTGAGCCACTGCACCTGGCCCCATTCTTTTTCTCTAGAAAACAAAACTACAAAGTTATTATCTTTAAACTGTGGTAGACAGATTTACTGTACTGAATTTCACTTCTTTTCAAATTAAAAAAAATGTTTTGCTCGTTTCAGTGACTGAGACAGTTGCTGTTTCTAGTTCTATGTGTATTTTCTAATTGCACAGCATAAAAGCCTAGGGAGTTGAGTATTTCCCTTCTCTTTCCCAGAACTGAGAAAACTCTGACCCTCCTTGCCTAAGAGACATCACCGCTGCTGAGTCTTGATACCTCAAGCAATTAAAAATGAATCAATAAATATCAATTGCCTGCCTCTAAGTAATGGGTTCCTCCATGGGAAGAAGAGGTCCTGGACATTCTTAGAATCTGGGGTCCTCCTGGCAATGAAGTTGGCCCTTAACAAAGGCCATGTCCTCTGTGTCTTGGTAACAGAGCACCCAGCTGGGTTCACCTGGTGGCGGTGACGCTCGGCTCGCTGGCTCTGCTCGTGCTGTGGCCTCCGTGTCTGGGAGGTTTCAGGGCAGAGGAGGAGGACTTTGTTAAGTTTTGTTTGGTGATCTGAAATTTAATCTTGTGCTCACTGAGCTCGGATCTAGTCCTTAATAAATTCTGTCCTCAGCTGCATCTTATTTATCTTTCACCAGCTCCCTGGCATATAATAAGCAATTAATAAATGCTTGCTATTATTAGGATTATGATCGTCCAGATGCCTCCACGAACACATTCTTTGTCTCTGTCTTTTCTCGGGTTCCAGACTGAGGCTGCCAGCTGCCTACTGGATGTTGTGCACATTTACACCCTTGCCTGTGCTGCTTGCTCTGCCAGGCACGCCTTTCCATCCTCCTGTCCTCCTAGTAAAATCCTAGGCACACGAGTAGGACCAGGCAATGCCTCCTCCCCACCCGAAATCTGCCCCACGCTGGAGCGCATTGCTTCTTCCTCTGTATTCTGCATTGTTTCCTTGTCCTCCCCCCATCATAAGCTGTCAGTCCTACCCTGCAATAACCTCAGTTGTTTACATGTCTGACTTTCAGTCTCTCTCTGGAATGTGGTAGAAACTGCCCAGACATTTATAATGCCCAACATGGCTATCTCAGAACCTTGTGTATAATACATAGTTCACACATGTTTGCCTGATTCAAACTGTGATAGAAATTCCCAAGCCACCAAGTCTTTGTTGAAGTTTTGGATGAGTAGAGCGCGTGTTGCAGTCCTGGCCACACACCCCAGGGAGATCCCCACTGCTTAGCTATTGAGCTCCAGGCCTCTGCTGTGCATGGGGAGACTGGGGCAAACAAATGACTTCGGTGCTGGATTCCAGCAGTTTGAATTCCTTGTATTTTCAGAGATCTCCAGGAATCATAATCATAATTCATAGAAAAAACAATTTATTGTCAAAAGTTAGAGGTCCACTTTGCCTTTGGGGGCCCCGTGGGCCACATATTTTTTCAAAAGTGAAATAATAAAGAGAAGAATAATGATTCTTGTGCATGTAATTTGCCTTTGATTTTGTGCAATGGAGATCGGTGCAACGGGAGGCTACCTGGCTTCTCTATGCCTCAGTTTCCTCATCTGTAAAATAGAGAGGATGACAGTACCCACATCATGAGGTCTTGTGAAGGATTAAATGTATTTATACATATCAAGTGCTTAACAAATAGAGCTTTTATTATTATTAACATGTGCTTCATAAATGTTAGCAATTTTATTTTATTACCATTGTTGCTCTGATGGACATTTTCCCACAAATAATTTTTATGATGTTGCTGGCACTAGAGAGATATAAACCCTCAGGTTCACCTAAGCTGCTGTTCACTCTGAAGAGATTCAAGAAATATCAACAATGTCAAACTTCTTTCTTTTTTACCAGTGCCAACTGTGTCATGCTTGTGCATGTCTGGGTCGTGCACCGCTGTGACCTGCCGTCCCGCACCCACATAACATCAGGTTTATTATGCCACACTGGTATAATATGATTTGTTTTGCCTCCACAGTTGATTGTAGGTATTAAAAAATAAGTGTGAATGGAAAGGAATAAAAATTTCCTCCTTATTCCCGTAGTACCACATACCTGGGAGGCTGAAAATTGCAGTTCCATGGTTATTCTAAGGCAATTACCTCAACTGTACTTTTCTTTCTCTCTCACATTTCAAAGGAACACATGTCCAAAGGGCCTTCTTCTTCTTTAACGGTCTTGACATTGTCACATTATACCAAGTGCAAAACTATGACAATACCTCTTGCCCCGGCTGCCAACAGTAACATGTAGGGACACGTCGCGGTTGCAAAGGGAGAATGGCCTCTTTATGGTGACTGGCTTGGAATTATAAATATTTTTATTTCTTCTGTAGGAGATGGCTCGTGGAAGAGAGGAGACAAACACGACTTTGAAGCTAAGCAGGCGTACTCGTCCCTTCAAACAGTCACCCTACTGAGGACAGTGAAACCTGAGTTTGAGAAGTTTTCCATGGAAGTGAAAAGTTCTGTTGAGAAACAAGGGCTCAATGAGGAGGATTACGTAAGTCCTTGATTATGAGCCTAGACCTTCAGCATCCTGCAAACAGTCTTCTAATTAAATCAGAGGTGACAGAGTGTCCCATTCTGAGCCATTCAAAAATTCCTAGGTTCAGGTCTGAATGTCACTGCTGCCTTCTGTGTGTTTTTTTTCCTGGCCAGTTTTCCTCCCTCCCTCCCCCGCCATACCCCTGTCACCCCCACCCTTCGCTTAGACTTTTGCAACTGCTGCAGGAAAGAAAATCGCTTTTCGTGGGCACTTGTGGTAATGCTGAGCAGAATGTCTGTAGACTTCCATCACGTATTTGGCTAGGAGGGTATTGGGGGAGAAGATGAATGAAGTAGTGCCAAGGTTTTGCACGCCTAATTTTTCCAAAGCTTGGTGGTAGAAGACATTTGGGGTTTTAGGAGGCTCTTTCTTTTGGCAATCTGTCTTAGCGTTCTGGCCAGTCTGCTTCTCTCTTGTGGATGGGGTTGTTGCCCTCTTGTGCTGTAAGCTGCTTCCTGCCCATGTGTTCTGGGGCTTCCCACTCCCTTAGTGCTGTTGTGACTAGTGCATTTTCTAAGAGTGGACTAGGGTCGAAAGCTCAGACCAGGCTAAGGATTAAGCAGAGGGACTCACCTAAGAGGTGGCGACTGACCACTTCATTTGGTGCCATCATTTTGGCCGCCTCTGGCATGCTTTGCTGTGTGGCCATTGTGTCACTCCTGCAAGTCCTTTCTCAGAGCAGAGTGAACAGGGAGCCCCTTGGGCCAGTGGGGTTAGAGTGCTGGTTTTCAAAACTGTTCACTCTGCAGTGTCCGAAACAGAAAAGGAGCACCTTCTTAATGACAGGCATATGGCTGGATGGTCCTTGCCTGAATTGGATAATGATCAGCTTCATAAGAGACAGTCACTTCCAAACAGTTCTCCCGGTTTCTTCACTTGAAGTACCACAGAGTCCTGGCATTGGCCTCAGACAGACCTGCATTCAGAGCCTGGATCTAGCTGTGTCATCTTGAACAAATTGCTCAATCTCCCTGATCCAAAGTGCACTTTCCTATTGGGAGGATTATAGATAATTTATCTGAAGCATTTAGCACTATCCCTGTCAAAAAGTTCAAACTAAATAAACAGTACCTCTTTTGTACTATTGTTACAAGATTATACCTGTCTTTATAGGAATTTGCTAACAAATGACATACAAATGGTCTTATAAACATATTTATTAATGTTTTAAATGTTATGTATATATTATACACACATCATTTAAAATACCTTTTGACTTTCTAAATCAGTGCTGTCCAGTAAATGTATAATGTGAAGCACAAATGTGAGCCAAATATGTAATTTAAAATTTCCTATTAGACACATTTAAGAAAGTAAAAGAAACACAGGTGAGATTAATTTTAACAATATATTCCATTTAATGCAAATATAAAAAATATTATCATTTCAACATTTAATCAATGTAAAAAATTATTTATGAGATTTTTATATTCTTTTTATTGTACAAAGTCTTTGAAATCCAGTGACAGCATTTGAGCCTTTGTTCAGGTACTCAGCAGCCATGTGTGACTAGTGGCTATCATATTGGACAGTGTGCTCTGAATTATGAAAGAAGTAGGGTTTTTGCAACAGAGCTCAAGTTTAAGGAAACATATGATAGTCTTGCGTTATCCAAATCCTTTGCCTCGGGAATATAAAAGAATACAAAGGATATTGAGTTTCCTACAGTAGCGCTGTCAAAGGTGGCCTGTGCCAATATTGAAAACATTGAGCTCTGTACATATGCCACTGTATATTATTTTACTTTATTAGGCTTATATTAATTGTGTGGTTTAAAAACTCAATAATGGGGCTGTTTTGTCTGGCTTCCTCCCTGAGGTTGTTGAAGTTTAGCTATTTCAGCATATGTTGTCCAACATAATGATGCTCACTGGGCAAAAGTCAGCATCCGAACACACTACTGGGTAATTCTTCTTGATCATCAATGACTCTGTGCTCAGAATATTAAATCTTATTTTAATGGTAGTCTAAGCAAAATCTCATTGGGAAGGTATACCTACTACAAAGACTCATAACACATTCCAAACCAAGTACTAGCACTTTAGAGATTATTTGTGGCTGTAGATTACAATACTGCTTCTCTCTGATGATGGGACTATTAAAACTGACTTTATAGATAAATATAAATAAATACAAATTATAATTTTAAGTATAAATTAGAACTCATTATAATAACTTATTCCAGTTCTGGAGATGTGTCTGTCTTTCATACGTATGTGGGTTTTAGCTGGGCTCTTTTGAGTGCCAGTTGCAGATGTTAAGAGGTCAGTTTAGACAGGTAGGTGTTCATGGTGAGTACTGGGGGAGGGACCTATGGGAGCCAAAGAGCAGGAGCCTGGTGCGGCTGGACCTTGTGGTACTACACCTTGATCTAGTGTGGCAGGAGATGCTTCACAAGAGCCTGCGGTCTTCACTCTGGGATCAGCTCTTCTCTTTTTGCTTCTCTTACTTGTGCTAATGAGTTGTCTTGTCTGATTACTTAGAACTTTGGTTCATGACACTCATCAGCCTCTACTATTCACCTTGAATCCAGCAATTTTGGGGGAACCTCTTATTCATCCTAAAATTTACCATGCATTTTCTGAACAATCACACAACCTGGAAATAGTGACAGTTTTGCTTCCTTTTAATTCTTCTACTTTTAAGTATGCTTAATTAAAGTGTACTTCAGGAGCTGGGTGTGGTGGTGTGCACCTGTAGTCCCAGCTACTCAGGAGGCTGAGGGAGGAGGATCGCTTTAGCCCAAGGAGATCAAGTCAAGCCCGGGCCACATAGTGAGACCCCCATATCTAAATAAATAAATATATAAATAAAATAGTTTCAAAAAGTATACTTACATATATATACTTAATTCAATTTAAGTATTACATATATCAAATTAAGATTAAGTATAATTCATTAAATTACAACTTTTAATGGCCCTGACTAGGATCCCAATACAGCATTAAATATAAGCAGTGATAGTGGGCATCTTAACTTTAACATGCAAAGCGTATAACATTTCATATCTGTTCATATCACTACTTAAGCATGATGTTTGCTGTGGGATTTTTGGGAGAGTCTTTATTAGATTGTGGAAATTGCCTTTAATTCCTTGTTAGTGAACTTTTATTTATTTATTTTGGCAAAATTGCACCTTTTATTAGGATAATTCAAACAAACATAGCACAAAAAGCATCAAGATTTGTCTAATATAGGTTAAAAAAAGACTTTAGAGTAAGGTTTTTATTTTAGGCATTCTACATTGTACGCTATCACTGATTCTATTTCATATATGTTAGTATCGCATTCATCATATTACCATGTTGTCGGCATCCTTGGAAAGTTTATGATCCCCTCAAAATGCAAGAATTTGAAACTTTAAAATTTTTACGGGTCTATACCGAAACATTGGGAGGATGGAGTAGCAATGATTTTTTAGTAAAATTAATATTAATATTAAAATTTTTAATTTACCAAATTTTGATGGATTAATGCACTTTTATTTCTGTAAAATTGATCTCTTCTCTCTCTCTCTCTGTCTCTCTCCATCTTTTGTCTTCTCTTTTTTTTTTCATTTTAGAGAGGGGGGTCTTGCTCCAGCTCAGGCTGGAGTGCAGTGGCATGCAGTGGCTCACAGCAGCCTCGAACTCCTAGGCTCAAGCAATCTTTCTACCTCAGCCTCCTGGGCAGTTGGGATTACAGGTGTGCACCATCACGCCTGGCTCTTTCTGTCTTTTTTAAATTGACTTTTTAATAGAGATAATTGCAGGTATACATGCAGTTTTAAGGTGCAATATAGAGAGATCCCATGTATACATTGTCCAGTTTTCTCCAATGGCAACGTTTTGGAAAATTATGTATAAGATCTCAATCACTAATTGATATTGACGCTAATACATTAATACAATATGATGAACATACTCAGAGTTCCCCGATTTTACTTATACTCATGTGTGTATTAAGTTTTATGCAGTTTCGTCACCTGTGCAGATTGAGGTGTTTGACTTTTATGAAATACCTTTTCTGTATCTGTTGTGACAATCTGATAATTTTTCTTTATTCTGTTATAAAGTTATAATGCGGTGAGTTGTGTTAACTTAAAAATCACACAATTTATAAATTTATAAAGGAGACCTTCATTTCTTAAGAAGGGGATTACAACCTGCAGGTGGGAAGTCCAGCCTCCAGCTGAAAAAACCAAAGCAAGAACTTTGAGGGAGGGAGGAGTAAGATGGGAGTTTACGCTCAACAGGTTGGCCAAGTATGCGTAATTAACAGGATGTAGGGGGGTCATGAATATTCATGAAGGGGGTTATGTACATGTGTGATAAACAAATATGCACGTTACATGTGTCCCGTGTTCACCGTGGGATGGAGACTTAACATTTAAATGCATTATAATTAGGCCCTGTGTGTCAATAGGTCTTTTCAGGACACAAAGGCACTCAGGTGTGCAGCCTCTGTAAAACCAGCCAGAACCAGTCCGTGATCAGTGGTCTCTTATCAGGGGAAAGTTATAAAAATCAGCCGTCCAGTCAAAGCTGTACTTAAGGCTTACGGAACAGGGATTTGGTTAGTCAATGTCTCGCGGCTGGTGAGCTGCCATTGCTTATCTCAAGGCCAGTGCTTGTTTAGCTGCTGGAGAAAAAGGAAGAAAAATCCTGTGGCAATTTGAACATAGTTTATTCTTTAAGTGTAGGGGTATATGACTTAACCCTTGCCTGGCATGGCCTTAGGTCCTAGTTATAATTTGGTATCATATTGCTGCAAAGAGTCCATTATAGCAGTCTTAGGATCTCTATTGGAACATTAATGCTGGTCAGTTGTTGCGTCTAAAAGGAGGCATGTCTGCCCCCTCATCCCGTCATGGCCAGGAACGCAGTTTTAAAGTTTTCCCTGGGGTCTCCTTGGCCATGAGGGGGTCTGTTAGGTGATTGGGGGCTTAGGATTTTAGTATACAGCTTCATTACCAG